CTGCATATCTTCAGGTTTGAGCTCTAGCTAAACACTTTTTTTTTCAACCATATCTCTTTCATCCCTTTCTTGAAAGCTGTTTAGGTTCACAAATTTGTAACCATGTACTTGGTCTCATCTTTGACTTGTAACTTAGATATTAGATATAGATGAGAGAGGCACCTAAAGATCTTTTGTTTTCCTTTTTGGACAAGATCCAAGACGTAGATTTTTCTATCCACCCATGTGAAATTCTGCATGAAAAAGTGAGTTCTGGCTTGCAGCTCAATTACATTTTTTTGGACTCATTTGACCACCCTCTTGAACAACAAAGAGTATCCTCTTCTCCAGGAAATTACTGTCTTATTTAGACACTATCCTTCTCTATATTGCTGCTCCAAGGTCCTCTATTTCCCCATCAGTCCAGAGTGCACAGAGTGTGTGTGGTGGAGGGAGGTGAGGGAGGCAGGTGGAGGTGTCAGACAGAAACCAAATTTGGTTAACACTATCTATTCGTTGACATTTTATACACCTTCTCCCAGGTTTTCTGTTTTGAGTAGGACAAACTACCAATATGTATCAATAATGCTTGCTTATTATTCCTCAAACTTAGTGGCACTAACAATAAAAATCTGACCACTGTTTGAGGACTAGTATTTTGAGAATACTAATTGTCATGCTGACAAATACCGTCTTCCTTTGGTACCTATTTTAAACTTAGTTTACAATTCTGGAGCCTTTGTATCCTAAAAGCACCTACCATGACAGAATCCTAGCATGTGATTTAGATTTCTACATTTAAAAAAATAAAATAAAATAAAATGGAGAATAACCCAGGAGGTTGCCACACAACAGAGTTCCTATCGCCAGAGTTCAGTAATTTAGACTTGGGGCTCACTAGTTTATGTTAAAAGTGAGGACACAGTGTCTTGTGCTCACTATATCCCATTTTATTTAATTTGAAAGAACTAGGCAATTTTCCCTCCCTCCGCACATAATGCAGATCATGACTGAGGAGGATCTAAAGTAATGCTACAGCTGCTTAGCTCTTCCCTTGCACTAAATTCTGCATTCATTTCTGCTCTAGTCTGTATTTCTATTTTATAATGAAACATACAGCCTAGTTATTTATAGGCTTTCTAAGGATTAACTACACACTCATAAGAATAAACCCTCAAGAGGTTAACCTCATCCTCTTAAGCTTCACACAGTACAATCTCAGAGATAGCTGGCAACCACAGGCAAGAGAAGAAAAATAATCCTACATCTTGCTAATCCTTTAGCCAATCACCTCATGCAACAGTGGAGAGGCCTCTCAGAGGCCTACAATTCAATCTGTCTCAAGAGAACTGTCAATCCAAAAAGATACGTATTTCATAGCACCATTAGCAGCCCACCTCAAAAGGCAAAGTAAGACATACCTGACTACTCAGTGGTACACTCAAATCATGCAACTAAAATGCAATCCTAAAAAAGATATCAGTTTGCTGCTTCTATTTCCCATTCAGATATTTGCATATTCTACTCATAAAACTACCTAGTTTATTATTTTGAAAGTAAATATAATGTATTTTGCATTGTTTACACCTAGATAGACCAGTTTAACTGTCCCTTATACTTCCTAGAATGAACTTTTAGTACCTTTGATTTTCCAGCCAGATCATATCTCTCTAAACAAAAATAAAATCTCTTCGTGGTAATCTACCCAATTCCTTCATACCATGATCTGGATTCTCCCTTAACCCCATATGTGGCATTACTGCAGCTGCAGGCAGTGTCCAAGGAGTTAACAGATACACTTACCTTTTAAACAATACAGAAACCTTTGAATTATTATTTATCTAGCAAAATAATTACTCAATTCAACTTTAATATAAAAAATATTAAACAACGTCATTTAAAAAAAAAATTGCTAAGGAGGTTGTTTAGCCACACTGCTACCCTATGGCTGGAAGTTAAAGCCTTCAAGAACATGCAGGAAAAGTATAAGACCAGAGAGATGACTGTTAATAACGAAATAGCCACAGTTCTTTCCTGAAGTAAGAATTTTTAATCAACCCCTAAAATTGGCACTGCCTACAAGCTCACCAAGTCCAACTATATTAACTTTTTTTTTTTTTAAATGTGTCAATTCATTCATTCTATTTTCTACGTGCTTAAGTTACACTGATTCCAAAGCCTGGCTTCTGATTTGTAGGTAAACCCTCTGAAGATCTCAGTCCCATAAGAATACAAATCCCTCTCCTCACAATCTGTCCTCTGATAGGCTTCCACTTTTTCAACTGGAAATAAAAGTATAAAATAAAGACAGTTCAAAATCAACTTTTATTTCAAAGAGTTGTTCCCACTAATTAAAGGCTTTGTTCCCTTCCAGAACTCACATATGGCCCAGCAGCAACAGGAACTGCTCTAACTCAGGCAAACCAATTGGGAAACTCTTGAATCATCTAGTATCAGGAAACAACAGCATGTAAAGAGAGAAAGAAAGGGGGGGAAAGAAGTCAAACCCTGACAAAAGCACTGATTTATCTAATCAAGAGAAACCATGCACATCAGCTAGGAAAATTGATCTTTTCTCCTATGCTCAAGATTTATTGTAAGCAAGTATTCTTGGTAGCATGAGGCCAAAAGCTACTTGACAGCATCTTCTACTGTTACAGATTGCTCCAGCCTATTTGCATTCTGAAAGGAAGTTTCATGATCTTTCATGCTCATAATAGATGCCTAAACCGTTAAATTACTATTTCTTTTCTAATCTTGAAAGACACTTCTCTTGAACAGCATGGCCCTTCCACTGCTCTTTACATGAAGTCGGGTCCCTGAACAATACTGACAGCTGCTATCAAACTGGGCTGCACTCACCCACAGTGCAGCTGCCGCTTGTAGGAACAGACAGACTTCTGATGTCTCCTCCCCTCTGGGGAGAGGACTTGACACACTGTGTGCTCAGTGAGGGGGAGCAAAGGTCCACTGAATTGTCAACCCAATTACATGCTATTCAGAATTTCCAGGATGCACACCGTTCCTTTCAAAAATCAAGCATATGTCAGAGCATGAAACTTACTGTGTGGCACTAGATAATTATTGATCACATAGGACTGTAAAAGGTCACTGTGACATACACCTAATTTTAGCATTATGTCTATGTAAGCATTTACATGGTCAAAAAAATTTTGTGCCCAACGTGTGCATTTCCTCCTTCACAGTTTTGGATTTTTATGGCATCATTCAGAGGTCTTTCACAAGACACAGGCAAGTATCTCTTCTGGTGACTCTTAGTTAACTTAAAAATGAAAAAGGTGAAGGTTTCTATTCCTGTTTCCAAAGAGCTTTCCCCCAAAGAAAAGGTTCTTAATTGTATGTGGTACTTGTAGATCCCATTGCTTTTAAAAGACTATATTGTGCAGAATTTAAAAACATGTTTAAACTAGCAAAATTTGGTTTGGCTAAGTAGCACTATCCTAAGTCCAGCAAGAATGTTTTTAAATATATTTTAATATATATCTCCATTTACTGCAGAAAATGTTCTTTAGAATTAGTTCATTAAAAAGTGTTTTCCATTCCATTTTCATCCTAAAGAAATTATTCACTTTAAAAAAAATGCAAGAAAGTACAGCTGTCTAATCTTCGCTAATCAAACACCACAAATGCACATGTGCTGTATTTCAAAGATCAAATCAGGTATTCATAAAGTAATTCATTACACAAGCAAAGCACAGAGGAGATTGTGACAAATACAGATGTAATTGTGTGGGTTTCTAAGATGTGATTAGCAAATCAACTAAGTAACAGTCAAAATTTGATACGAAGGGAAAAAACAGCTCAGATTTGAAGGGGGGGGGTATGTTTATGCAAAGCTAATCTGTCAAGTGTAATAAAGCAGCTTGAATAAAATTTAAGCTGAAAATCCACTGAAGCTCCCCATTTCAGGGAGGAAAAGCTATTAAAAGGAAATGAAGGTCACCCTCCCAGTTTATTTCACCTAATTGACTGCCAATAGCTTACCACAGGCAAACCGACTGCAGATCTGCAATTGAGAAACTGATGAAAGGAGAGTTTTCAAGCTGAGGCCCATTCTTTTAATCCTCCCTCACTCCTATTTTTTTTTTCCATCTCCAGTTGGGATGTAATTTTAAGCACAGATGGATTAACTGGTTCCATTGTCTGTAGACGTCATTGGACTATGGCACTGTTAATCCGTACAGCAGCATGTCTAATTATCATTACAAAGTGTCTGAGGGAACTATAAAGACCAGCAGGGCATCTTCTCACAAGCAATTAACATAAATTGATAAATGAGTAATTTGCATCCGCTCAAGGCGCTCACATATGAATAAAATCAGAAAAGACGGCTTCTTGTTTCAGCTACTTCTTTCACTTAGTCTGGAAGGGCAGAAAACATGAGAAATATTCTAGACTTAGTGGCGGGGGAAATGAACTCATGCAGTGGAAGGAATGTATGGTTCAGAAAGTTCATTAGTACAAAGTAAATGACTTGTGATTGACAACCAGTCACAAGCAAGTAGCATTAACTTATTTCAGCATATTTAGAAGCACAAACTTGGTGAAAGGCTAATAGAACACTGTGTCAGACAATTAATACTACTTCAAAAGCAAGTGAAGTTTCTTTTCAATAGCTTCCTAATTTAAAATTCATGAAAGATTCAAAAGAAAGAGAAAAGAAAGAAGAATGAATAGTTGTACAGGCTCCAAGAACTGAAGTGTCACAAGAAAGCATGAGGCAAAGGTAACTGGATCAACGGACATACAATACCTACAAATAAACAAGCAACTCTCCTAATCGTTATATTTCTTGCAGGAAAAGGTTTGTTACTCACATCATTGCTGCACATAATTATGTTCTGACAAAGTAAACTATTAACTTTATCCCTGCTAAAATTTGTGTGAAGCAAGGCAAACACTTTAGCAACATTTGGCATCAAAACAGCATTAGACATCAAAACATTAAGCTTATTTTAAAAATAGCAAAGCAGTAAGATATGAAATCAAGTTATACACACTGTAGGAGGTAGACCTGGAAGGCCACGTACCCCGATGATGGCATTCAGTTCAGCCATGGTCACTTGTTTGGCACGCTCTACAGCTTGGGCCACTTGCTGCTGATGCTATTAAAAGAAAAAGGGATACGAGGAGGAATTTATGTTAAGGTATTGGCCACACCAAAATCAAACCAGGATCACAAACACCTGAATAACTGTTTTGTTTGCAGAAGACCAGGCTACCTACTGTAAGACATCTGATGCAGGTAAAAGATAACAGTTCCCTATTTCTCACCCGTTTAAAAGCAAACAAGAGCCCTGAAGGCCACCCGCTCACCTCTCCCCCTATGCTACTTCAATGTTAATTTCCTGGCAAATCAAAAATCAGTTTCTAATTGAGTTGACAGGACGATAATGTCAACTTCATATTAGTGTCAATTTTAACATTTATATACTCTGTGCCCACACAGCAAAACCTACTGAAATTTCAAAACAGGGAAAAGAAGTGTTTCACTGCACTCAACAAGAATTACAAATACTCCTCGTAAACTATATCCAAAATAACAGGCTTCAAAATGTAACAGCAGTTGCCCACAATATGCTACAATTGCAATCATTCAGACCAGATGTAGGCTTGTAACCTTAAACAGTGTTTTGCATCTGGGCTCACAACTCACCTTTTACATTAACATTTCATACAAATTATGTAGACAAGATAAGCATGTTTATTTCAGTGGATTCACATTTGACAACTGAATATCAAATAAGCAGTCACCATGATTAGAAATGAAAGCATTTTGTTGCATTGGTAGTATTTTACAGACTCCTACTCTCCTCAGGCAATGACTGAGGCTGAGCCATTGTCACTAGTTTGAGCTCAGATTTGTTAGACTGAATTAGCAGGGGGTTTGCACACTTCAGCTATAACAGATGTTCCTTACACTTGTGTATTGTGATAAAATTAACATCTTAAAACTAGCTAATTTGCAAACAGAAAAGCAACATAATTGCACTTTAACAGCTGAACAGTTTTACTTACTTCCTGAGACAAAAATGGGATGACTTGTGCACAAATTGTATTCAATCTCTTGGCGATTTCTGTCTATAGAGGAAAAGTATTTTGATTAAAACTGTGTTTTAGTTTTGTTGCCATATATCAACTAGTGTACAGGATTATATTAAGTTCCCACAGTGAAAAAGTAACAAAAAAAATCCACATCTTCATACTCCAGCAAATCAAAATAGTTAATATTTAGAGAGACAGAGATTTAGTTAGCTACTCTAGGACATCTGCCATGTCTAAAGCACGTAATCTGTATACACATTCAAGCAGAAATCTGGTCCTTGTACATAGCTCATTAACAAGTAAAGCATTTTTGAAATCCATTAAATCCAAGATAAAGCCTTTTAAAAGGTAGATTTATTATTACTCCAATTATCAAGCAGCATAACATGAAGGTGACAGGCATGGAAGAAAAATGTTTCTTTCATGATCAATTTTATCTGCTTATTAAAAGGTAAAATTAGTTTTGCTGACAGAAACACACCATCAGGAGTACAAAAGAAATACCAAAACAGAAGCGAGGCAGAATGGAGACAAAAGGTACAGACTTCTAAAACATCCATATTGAGACATAATTAAAATAATGCAGAAAAAAATTAGATCAGAAAATGTGATAGTCAATAACAACAAATTTAGTAAAACCATGAGTAACAGGAGAACAATAAGGCTAGGAACCAGCAGAGAAGAGAACAATCCTTCAGTGAAAGCAGCAGAGACGACAGCAGGACGAAGCGTTTGTGTCCCACTTTTTGACAGCTTTGTGTATCTCCCACTTACAGTATGTCAACCTGAACACAGAATTTCTGGTGGGGTACAGGGAACTTTTTCCCTCATTACTCAGCCTTACCTGTGCTTACTGCTTTTCAGACCTATACATCTCTCCACCACTGAGAACCACCATTATAATTAACCCTCAACTCTTCAAGGTGCTTGCACAACTCCCACAGCTTTCCTTAAAAGCATCTCCTGTAGCACAACTGCACAAAGCCAAAGTCAGCATCTAGAAGTGAACACAGCCTATATGCAAGGCACTAGCAACAACTTGTCAGTCTCTGTCATATCATTAAGCCATGTAGATATTTCTTGGGGTTTTTTTAAGACACAAGAAACAAGACATCCTTGCTGAGAACTGTTAGGCTTTCCATGAGATGACATGCATAAATCTAAGCAAAGACAAATTCTTTCAAAGAAGCAATGTTTTCATCTGACTAACTCATCTGCCAAGCCCTTCCCCAAGCCTTCTCATCAGTCTGATCCTTATGCATCAGTCAAGCAGTAATTAGGATACAAAAGCCACACCCAGCAGACAGGTGATTTGGGATCTAAATACAGCTGGCAAGCTTTAACACCTCTTTCCTCACCTCTGACAGATACCGGGAAAATAGCTGATAGCACTGAAACTTGTAAAACACTGTGTCTCTCTGACCTAAGCAGAACTATGCCACCTGACCAAAGCCTGGCATTTGGCACATCCATGCTGAGTTTTGCAAGTGACTAGAGTCTCTGAAGCAGTTCTGGGATAGTTTCTTCCTAGGACAAAAAGGTTCCCCTTAAACGTGAAGTGGCAGTTGCCTTCAGCAAGCCTTAATCCTCCTGCAACATGGGGAAGAGATTTCTATGCTCAACAGAAACAGCTGCCATTACGTGCAGTACCACAGCGGTCTGTTTCCATCTTGTTTGGGTCATGACCATAAAATATCCATCATCCTGAGTGTGGCCTCTAGCACCCACTTACCAACAAAGGCAATACAAGAAAGTTGTGAGCTCCATTATTATCAGTTATCAGACTTAACTATTGCCAAATATGCAGCCAACTTCACTGTCTGTTAACAAAGTAAAAAAACCCACACAATTGTGAGAATTTACATTCTAAATGGGCATTTTTCCACCTACTCAGGATGTCTCTCCAGAAAGCAAGGTATGTCAGCTGTGGCAAGAAATTCTGTTATGTGTCAGTCTGATTGGCTGAGGTATAGCTAAGAAGTTTAGGGTCCAAGAAGTTAACTGCCCTACACCAATGGGAGTACCTTTCTTTTCAGGACAGAAGCCAGGACAAATCACAGCAAGTGATAAATGGGGATAAGTTTTTAAAAAAAAACTTAAATAAGAAGAAACTAACTTGGTTTCTACTGAAGAGTTCCTTGGCCTGTATGGCCTACAAAATGTCTCCCTATTCTGCAATACAGAGGTAAGTATCCTTATTGTAGCTAAAAAAAATAATAATCTATTTTCAGTAGAACCTACAAAACATGCAAGTTGTCCATGTATTGGGTTTTCCTGCACAGGTCCCAAATATCTGAGCTCCACTATAACTACACAGCATACAGGACAGTAAGCAGTAAGTCAAGAGAATGCAACATAAGTCACCTAGATTTTTTTTTTTTTTTTTATTTCTTTTCTAAAAAAGGGGGGGTATAATCAGCTTTCCCCCTTTCTCACTCAATCTTACATTAAAATGATTGCCTCAGTACTATCATACCTGACTTAACACCAGAACTGAAAAAAAAAAAAATAAAATAAATCCTTCTGGGTTTGTTTTATCAAAGCTGGGCATCATTTATGATAATATATGAACAGTATCCTTAATATTCATCCAGTGCTAGGTAAACTTAATGTACATGCCATAAACAAGTTTACTCTGAGATTTCTTGCTGCTGCTACAAGTGCCAGTTAGCCGAGATTTACACTGAAAGGAAACTGAAAAGACTATTCTACACTTCATAACAAAAGTCTGCTTGCATTTAAAAGGCAGTTTGTCTTACTAGCACTATTTCCCACACATGGTTAAATAAAGTACTTAAAATTATATATCCAGATCTCATACATCTGTTTGCTGCCCTCAAATGTTTACTAAAAATATTCTTATTCATAACACGTTACTTTTTTTTTCTCTAGTGAGTTGCAAAAGTTCGGTTTTAATGCACAATTAAGCACTTTTAATGCGCAATAACAACTCTATCAGGAGTTGTTTCCAGAACTGAGAAAGAGGAACTTTTATTACTTGAAATATAAATCTAGCTGTTCGAAAGGCAATGTATACTCACCTTTCAAGATGAAATATCTTTGACTATATATGCTTGAAAACAAAAAGTATTTCTGAAGTAGTCTAGAAAAGCTTTGTTGATCAAGACTAGGCATCAGTAATTGGTGGCATTACTGTAAGCTATATATTCCAGATTTGGAGATCATGCATTTGAAAGTCTCTAAAAGTAAGGTACTTATCAGTTACTTCTAGAGGCCTCCCAATACAATACAGCTATTATCCAACTGCTGATCTTGAGATGTGTAGGGCAGTCAGAAGAACAAGTAAACAAAGACAAATTTGCAGAAAGCTGCTTGAACACAGACAAACATAACTAATTGCCCATGTTCTTTGACTCCTTGGTAAAGCAGACTGTAGAAGCCCTCCTAGCTCTGTGGCAGCTCTTAGCAAAGCATCTGAAGTACCCTTAATTGTTTGTGTTCTTATGCAGAGCCTCTTGAATACATTCATTTTTAATAGAGGACTTGAGTGTGGGGCCCATCAAAGAACGGCAAAACTACATCATTGACTGGTTCTTGCTGTTGTAATGATTGTCTTTTGATTTATTTGTAAATGACAAGCTTGTCAGACCCCTGACTGAAGTGCTACCCTCCTTTCTGAAGTATCATTAAAAATTAACATGAAAGAATTCAGCTGCATTTTGTAAAATTAAGTTGAGCCGACGGATTTTTTTATTTCTTCACTCATGTAATTTTTTGGCCTCTGCTCCATCTAATTAAGGACTTAAATGTTTTGACCTACCCATTGCCAAACTCAAGTGTGTGTACTTAAGTTTGTCTCTTGCTAAAGTGAATTCTTAACATAATGGCAAAGAACAAAGTGGCCAGACTAGTTACTAAATATAATACTAATTTAAATAAGGCATTTTACAAAGCAACTAAGTTCGTATATACAATTGTAATATTTTTTCTTCATTATTTTTTTAAAAAAGAAGTATTTAAGTGTTTTCCTCTACAGTAGTCTATTCCAGATCATTTTGCATTTTGACAGCCTGTACTTTCCAAAGCACCATGTACGATATACTTAAATCAACACAATTTCCTAAACAACTACAGATTTTTGCACTGGAATGAAAAGCTGGAAGTGTAATACAAGTATCTAAACTCTAACTATATTTCTCACTACACCTAAGACCCATGTGTATTTTATCACTAATGCTGGAAGCCCTAGCCTACGGAAGCCACCTCTCTTTTCTTAGTGAAGAATGTAACCTTTCTCTGAGGTGAATTATTAATTACCTTTCGGCTTCAGAGGTTTCAACAGTAATAATTTTGTGTTTGCTCCAATCCGTGTCTACCATATGTTTCCTAGTAGTGACTTTACCTATAGCATCCCTGGTGATCTAAAGCAAAAATTACAACACATTATTTTTAACAATCAATTGTATTATGACTGTTGCTCTATTATTAGTACCAAGACTCCTCAAAGCTGTTCAGGCCTACTTTTACAACACAATGCTCAGCTAAAAGTGTCCATTGTATGTCTGAGGGTTTTTATTCTTTCTTGCAAACTGCACTTCCTATATCACAAAGTATCACAGGGTATCATAGACTTTGATACGATATTTCCTGTATCACAGTATTTGAAAGCACTCTATCACCACTTCTTAAGGGCAGCTTATGTATTATCATTAATTAGATTTTTATTTACCCTAGTTATTTCAACCCAATTTTGAGAATCACATTTGTCATTAAATTGGAAAGAATGCTGTTTAGGAACAACATAATTAAAAGTAAAGCAAGAAAACCCAAAGTTCTGATGATACCAAAAAAAAAAAGTGTGTCCTAATCCATTCCTTATAAAAGCAGAAGAATTGGAGAATCGGCCTTTAATGCACAGAAAAGAATATACTGTCAAATCACATTCGCAAAAGCTTTACAAGGTAATTCTGAAGTACTCTGCCTCCACTTACACTTTCAACACGTAGAAAGCCAAGTACAACAGTGAGCTCCTCCTGGAAGAACAAAATGGACTTCCTGCCATTTACAGAATGTAA